TATAGAAGGTCTAAGAAGGGCTAACATCTAAGAAAATATTTTTTGATTAATGCTACAGTAATGGAACAAAAATCGGGCCCCCACTATTCCTAAGAGGCCATAATTCCACCAATATCAAGTAACACATCTATAAATAAAGGGTTAAGCCAATAAGATACACACTCTCTAAACCCTCTTTCTATTAGTTGTCACTGTGAACATACTCTATGTCTTGGCTATGCCGTTATTATTATAGTGCACAGTGATCCGCTATTCTCTAAGATACTTCCCCCATAGGTACCTGAGAGAGGGCATTCAAATCCATTATTAACATACCATTCATTGACTGGACTTCTTTGTCTCTCGGACATAACAAATGGTTTAAAGTGTTCTCAACCCTTAAATAATGGTGCTCATGTTACGACTCAAAAACATGATGGGAGAGGTTTATTTAACTCCCTTAGAATCTCATTTATTTAAAACATCAATTAAAAAAGCACAATATAGTCCATTAGTCCTTCTACTACAGGACAGACAAAAGAAACGAACTCTATCGTCATACTAAACTCTAAACAGCCATTACCATTTCTAAAAATGGAATTCATGATTTTACCATAAATTATAATAATTTATTATGATAAACTGGACCTCTCAAGCTTTCCAACAAAGTATAACATTAACTATTTGGTTAAATATGGCTGGAGTTAAGCAACTCACAAGACAGTCATCCTATACTGATCTCTACAAGCGAGTTATGTCTCTTCAAGGAGTTCTTGGGAATTCATGTGCACTTTAAATTTTTCATAATTTGAATATGTTAAACTAGACTCTTTAAATTTTCTAGAGATATATTATATGCCTCAATTGGGTTTGTATATCCCAAGTTATGCATGTCGTAAGCCAACTACTTCAATCAGATTTCTGCGAAGTGAGTAGCGACTTCAAAACAAAGGAAGAATTTAAGAAATAAACATCCAATATTTTATTTAAACCTAAAAAAAGGAAGAATTTAAGAAATCCCATAAATTATTATAGATTTTTACTTGTAACGCTTTTTATTGGAGAAATTTTAAAAGAAATTAGTCTATCTAGCTACCCTTTCGCATTTAGCTACCCAAACTCTTTATTACTAGATTAATTTTAATGACTTATTTTAAGCACCTTCTATAATGATCATTCCCTTTTTTTTCCTAAGTAAGTTGATCATCCTCTTTTAACACGATCAAACTTGAAATTGACTTTATCTAAGAATAATGATTTTGAGGTTGGCAATTAATTTTCTATTTTTTTCTATTTTTTGAGTGATGAACAAAAACTAACCGTCCTTACGTGATAGGGGTGTTCGAGGTCTGGATTGGATCGGCTTTGAAAGCAAAAATCATTTGATTCAATCTCTTCGGTTTGACCATGTATTCATCCATTCGGTTTGAATTTTTTTCAAATTCGTTCTGATCCAATCCAATTTTTTTCGGTTTGGATTTGATCGGTTTTCTGAAAATTCTAAAATTTGTTTCATGATTATTGTGCAAATAACATCTTTTGTATATATTGGCTTTGTAATTTTTTTTTTTGAAATACAAAAGCATCGTTAAACGATAACATAGTTTATTTTTGGGCAATGAGATATAAAGCTATACACAGATGAAATTTTGTTGATGATATGTGATTAGGTTTTTTCTTGGGTTTAATTGATGGGTTAATGAAACTTGGGTTTAGAAATTTTTGGGCTATGATTATAGAAAGACCCAAGTAGGTAGAAGAGAATTAATATATTGGATCGGTTTGGATTGGATCAGTTTTCATCAATCAATCCAAAAATCGATCCAATCCAATTAAAATTTGCGATTTTTTTTCGGTTTTCGATTTATTCGGTTATCGATTTTTCGGTTCAGTCGCCGCGGTTTGAATATAACACGTGACCAAATTGATGATGCCATTACCAATAATATCATTGATTGATGATCATTTTGAATTTAGTATCTATGAGTTTCCTAATTACCATCCATCACCTTCTAGAGTTGAGAAAGGTGAAAAATCAGATTGTACGTTTATAACTTCACTAAACTTTGCAGTTTTTTTAATTGATTTTTTTTTTTTTTTGCTGACGGCTGAGAAGATATATTATGTCATACGAAGATGTATGATTTCTCTCTGCAAACCGATAATTCCCATGCTGAGAATTCGATGCATGCATGTATTTAATTTTAATGATAGCTAGCCCGTTAATTTCTTGTTTAGCACTTAAGCCTGTAATGAATTCATAGTTTTGCATAGCTGATGGAGGAGGGGATTTCATAATCCTAATTATAATTATCCTTTATAGACAACATTAAATAAAATTTTAAAAGCAGTGATTTTGTCTTATATAAAATTTAAACTATTTAATAGCCCGTGATATATACAAAATTTACTTTAATGCATATATTTTCATGATTTGGTTTTGATTCTCTATTTACAAGTGACTTAATATGGCACGCTATATTCCACGTCCATTAGAAAATGGTACACAATGTTCTTTTATAATTTGATTTTTAGAATAATATTTCTGCAGTTACTGCATATAAGTTATCTGCATTTATTTTCAAAACGATGTCATTTTGAAATTGAAAAATTAAATAATTATAATTATAAAGACTATAATAAACCTGAAATAAAATAAAATTACAAAAACACCATGATTTTCGCTCCAAAATGACATCGTATTAGACTTAATACATATAACTTATCTGCAGTAACTACAGAAAAAATGAACCCTTTGATTTTTTGTTAAAATTGATTCATAGTATTTTCAACAAGCATATGTTTATTTTCATTGTTTAAAAAACAGAGAAATTCAAAGAGAAGTTTCAAATTAGATAAGGAAGTGCCGGTAGAGACACTCTGGAAACTAAAAATGAAATTAGAAAAGAAGTTATTATATTTTTAGCAAAGCTTTAAGTTATTCCTTTCCAAAACTTACTTTCAAATAAATTTATGCCAAAGAATCGGTAATCAATTCTTTTCATATTTTGTGTCGGCCATAAATACATTGTGGGGATTAGCATAGTCAATTATATAATTGTTTTCGGCACGAAATGTTTAGAAAATTATACGATCAATTCATTAATTTGATACTCCATTCATTACAGTTCAAACCAATCAAACCTCACGTTTTAACAGGATCAGCAATCAAAGAAGAATATCTAATATACTTAATAACAGAAAAAAAAAATTGGAATTGTCAATTTCATGAAATCACACTGAAAACTATCTCTAAACCGTGCCAACATTACTAATTTGCTTTATAAAATGAAATAAGATCTTTCTAAATTCATGTCCTTAATTAGTAGCAGATAAGCAAAACTTGGACTTGCGTGAAGCATTTTGCCAAGTTTCCTACCATCATCTTAGTTGTTGTTAGGATTGTAATTATTACGATGGTTACGAGTATAATATTGATTGTACAATCGTAACCATCATTAATACGATAAACGTAACAACTGTAATCATCATCAGTATACAATCATAACATATTACAATCGTAATGATCTTTTAAAAAAGAAACTAAAAAAATGAACTTTTTGTTATCATTTTCTTTGAGAATATTAAAGTGACAACTTTATATAAACAAATAGATTAACATTTCTCAAGTTATAAAAGATAATTTTATTTTCTACGTATGTAAAAATATGTATAGCTCATGTGAAGAGAAAAAAAAGATGAACCTGTGTACTTTTATGTGTTGAAGATAAAATTATCTTTCACAACAAAAGAAATATTACTCCTACAAACAAAACAATAAATACTATAATAATATGTAGAACGACTTTATTAATCTTATGCAATAGGAGATAAGACATCTGTGACATAACTTCCTGCAGATTTATTGATTCCGTGCCTTTCTTTTTTCTTTTTTAATATGGGAAAATATTTCTCCAATCATATTTTCAGTGAGCTCAAAACAATGTTGTTTTGGGTTATAAAATTAAAAGATTATAACGATAAAGACTAATATAATTCTGCAATGTATTAGAATTATAAAAACATTTTGATTTCTGTATCAGACGTCATTTTGGACTCATAAAAAATAACTTATCTCTATTGACTGAAGAAATTTTCTTACCCTTTTAATATACAGTGAAGTCCACCACATAATTATATTTATAACATAAGATAATATATTACGTGAGAATAATATAACCCAAAAGAAAATAGCAACACATGAATCGATCTATCAGTCGGAAAGAAAATTAATGTCTAGTAACATAATGTAGAATCTGTAAACAATAATAATAACATGACCCTACGTAAATTTTATTATTATTTTTTATGCGTGTGATATTTTTTTCCTAGGTTTGTCGTCTTGTCTGTGTGAGGCGTGGGGTAATGAGGTTGAATTTGCATACTCTACTTCAGAACTCGGTTAGGTAGCCGTGTCGTGTATGAAAGAGTTGGGTTTAGGTCTTAGATGATTGTCATTGGTACGTGCTACACACTCTCTGTTTGAAAGTTCACACAAAGCACAATCTAGGAATGGGATGGGCGTTCTGATCAAACATGTAGTTATCATTCCCAATCCCATCACCCAATACAAGAGTCTCTATGTTTGGGCTCTGAAGTCAATGCCACTCGTATATTTAACTCCACAATCATCATAACTTTCCCTTATTGCCAGTGGTGTGGCACATATGCTATTTGCCAAATTATTCCTACTTCTTCCATCAGAGATTCTTGTTTTAAACAAGCACGAGAGAGATGTAACATAAGCGAATCAACAATTCACACTTCATTATTGTATATTGAATCATTACATAAATTTGTGTTGCATGTTGTTTTTTTTTTTTTTTTTTTTTTTTAATTTATATAGGCTAGCTGTATACAATAATTTTTATTCTACCGTTTCTCTTTCAACCGTTGGGGCCATTTTCTCTGAAGGCCCACTAAGAAGAGCACAGTAATTTCAATTTTCAAGAGAGAGAGAATATTATTAGTATAAGAAAATGGAAAAGTGGTACAAACCAAAACAAAAAACACAAGCTAAATAAGCAACCACACCCTCTTTATTTCTTTCTTTCTTTCATCAAATCCTTGTTTTTCAGTCTTCCATATTTCTTCTCCAATTTTGACCCAAACTATTTGCTCTTCATTTGCAAAGGCTTGGTTTTTGTGCAAGGCAAATAGTAACTACCCTTAGCCTCCATCAATGGATATAAGCTTAAGGCTCCAAGATAGAGAGAACCAATCTTTAAACTCTCCAAGAACCAATCTCAGCAACTCCATGAGTAGCAGTAATAGCATTGGCATCAAAATCCCCACACCACCTCTTACCCCAAACACCATCCCTAGATCTGACTCAAACCCTTACCCTACAACCTTTGTCCAAGCTGACACTTCCACTTTCAAGCAAGTAGTTCAAATGCTTACTGGCCCATCAGAAACCACAAAACCAGCATCATCAAAAGCACACCCACAAGATCCAATTCCACCAACACCATCATCATCATCATCATCCAGAAACTTCAACATCCCACCCATGAAGATACCACCAAAGAAGCAGCAGGGGTTCAAACTCTATGAAAGGAGGAACAACAACCTCAAGAACACCCTCATGATCAACACCTTGATGCCCAATTTTGCTCAAAATTCTGGGTTCTCTCCCCGCAAGCCAGAGATTCTCTCACCAAGCTTGCTTGATTTCCCTTCACTTGCTCTTAGCCCTGTCACTCCATTGAATGATGACCCTTTTGACAAGTCCTCACCTTCACTTGGAAGCTCTTCAGAGGAAGATAAAGCAATAGCTGAGAAGGGTTTCTACTTGCATCCATCACCCATGTCAACTCCTAGAGACTTCGAGCCACAGCTCTTGCCTCTTTTCCCTGTGACTTCACCTAGAATTTCAGAATCTCCTTCTTGAGAAAGAAAAGAGGTTGTGTATCATCAGGCTATGATCATTGGGTTTTCATTTGATTTTTAATCAATAGGTACATAGCTTGCTCAATTTGTAAACTTTTCTTCCTCCAATGTAATGACAAAGCCCTTTTTATCTTTTGCTTTAAGAGTATTATTACTATTACTATCTCTTTCCTCTTAGATGAATTTTTATTTTTTCTGTGTGTGTTATATGAACGGTTATTCATGGATTTCTGTTAGAAACACAACATATCGTAAGGGAATAATCATGAGCCAGAGAGGGCCTCACAAATTATGATCATATGAATCAACTCAGTTTCATTCCAAAAGAGAAGTTGTGTTTAGAGATTAAGAGACTGATGAGAAGGTAAAGGGAGGGTTAGGAAATAAGGAAGATTCCTTGGAACACATTTTACTTGAAAACAGTGACTGTTCTAAGGACCTAGTTCTGTCCTATGTTGTCATCAAGGAAGGCTGCACCCAAAAGGAAGGTGGGTGGGTCAACTCAATGAAGGTTGAAGGGGGGGGGGGGGGGGGGGGGGGGGGGTCCCTCTTCTTGGTCATGCTAGTTTTAGTTTTATTAGTTTTCTAAGCAACTCAAAACTACATAAAGTGATGTTTTCTGGGTTTTGATTTTCTTTCTTCTGACTCCAATGAGAAGAAAAACCATTTCTGTATCAGTTCTCAATCTCCCATTCAGATCAAGAAGTAAAGCAAAAACTTTTTTCTTCTCCCTCTTTGTTACATTCTTTTCTTTTTGTTTTCAAATGCAGAATATGTATCGACAAAGACAGTTCCATATTTGTAAATTGTTACATCTCAGGGCCTATGTAGGTGTTGATCACTAAAATTGTTGTTGTAACTTCAGAAACCATGTAGCCATCTGATTAGTGAAATTTTTTCTTACAGTGGTACTCTTTTTTGTGGATTACAATGGGAATGGAACACTACACACACCTAACACACACCACCAGGCGAACCCTAGTGGTTCCTTAGAGTGGTACTCTGTTTCCTGGATTATGGGTGAATAATATTACGCATACATAAAGCAAAAATTCTTATATTGTGCATAAGGTTTATAGCAAACTAAAAGTACGGATAAACTAAACAAGGACAACAACATAGAAAGCAGAGTTACTAGTTTGAATAAATTTTTCTCAATTGTGATGGTAAGGTGTTTTTTTTTTGTGAGTTAAGGTTTTAAATTGGTGCAATCCCATGAAAATTGCAACAAGGATAGAAAGATGTAGAAAAGTAACGTGGCAAAAGAGAGAGAATTGCAAACTACGAAGTACCCTTCCAAAGCAATTACAAGAATTGCTGAATTCACTATATTAGCAGTTATAAACCATAATTTGTAACTATAGAACTGAACCAACAATCATTGTTGCTTATATCAATTTATCCTTTTCCTTTTTCTTCTTCTTCTTGTTTTGTGGATTTCGATTTTCATTGATTGTAATGGGAGACATTGAAATCAAGCAGGATTGACAAACTGACGAGAGGAAAGTCTAAAGATGAAGGGGGGAAAGAAGTGGGACTTTTGACATAATAATCATACTTGATAAAGTAAGGTAGAAAAGAAACCATATGTAAATAACAAGAGCATAGAATATGTGGAGACCAACTTTTTTCTTTTCTTCTACTTTTTAGACTTCGTTTTGTCATTTAGGTACATTTAGGTTGGACCAATTGCTAGTGCAATGAACAAAAATTGCTATTTTTTATTTTTATTTTTCTCCTAGTTTATATTCAACTAGGTAGGAACATCTTTTAGTTCCGGGATTTCTGACATCACTTTTTGACAAATATGGCAGCTAATTAGGTCGACTGGAAAACGACCAAACTGCTAAGACCGCATGATAAATGGAATATAAAATCCATAATGGGACATCACTTTTAAGTTTTTGGTTTTTGGTTCAAATAATTTTTTACATGGTAATTTTTGTGATCAGGTGATCACGATTTCGATTCTCACTGCATCATCTTTTAGTTCAAATTGTCATGCTCAAGTCACGTGATTTTTATTTTTTGTTTACTAAATTTGTTGATTAAAAAAATTTAATCTGTTTTCTTTTTAAGTTTAATTCTGAAAGCTAAAAAACTTGATTTTAGATTGATATTATATCAGAGTCTGACAGGTATTCAGGGTGTTGGTTCTATTCTCAACTATGAATATACTTATTCTGACAACATAGTAATCAATTAGAGCTGTGTCACATTGGCATAATTTTATCTAAAACACACATAATATCAGTTACTACCATTTTTTGGTCCGTTCTTTCTATTTTTTTCTTCAAAACTAATAATTAATAATTCTTTATTCCAGATTATGTGAATAAAAATTATATGAAACTGTTTTCTTATCTCTTAATACGGGGAGAATAACCGATGTATTGTGATTTTTTTGAAAATTGAAATAATTTAAAAAAGTATTTATTAAAGTAATATAATTCAATATTTTTTGAAAATTACTTTATCATATCAACGCCACATATGAAACATGTGTCAATTACGAGTTATGTTTTTGGGCTCATATGATTAATGGTGGTAAAAAATGATCAAACTATTATTTTGGTAAATAATTTTCAAACTATATTATTTTATTAATTTTGTTAAAATTATATTACATTTGTGTACATGTTTGAATTATTGCATTCCATTCCAGCTATACTAGCCGCTGCCAACGTCTCAAGTCAGAATTCAAGCTTCACTCTTTCTCTTATAAACGATATTGTTATACAACGCATGCGGTAGAACACATCATTTAGGGTTTTTTTTGTTGCAAAATGGTAGCAAACAATATTATTTCAATATAAGGACAAAGTTTGCAAATACACAAATATTTAGCACTCTTTTTTTTTTGGAAATTGAATCAAAATAAAAAAATTAAACTTTTTTTAACAATCATACTGACAGAAATTTGATTTCTGGTTGTGTGTATGGAAAATTCTTTATGGTAGAGATAAAATCTACTTCGACGATCTCTATGTCTCGAAGGAATTTGTCTTCGACTAACGGCGGGAGATACCCTAAGTTATACTTAAAATTAAATCAAAATGAAATGAGTGAATTGAACCACTAGACACTATAAATAATCACATTTTTCATAACCATGTTAAAACTCGAGTTATTACACAAAAATGAGCTCTTAAAATTAAAAACGAGAGAAATGTCATGTATTAGTAACCATATTCCTATTTACACAATTTCCCAACACGCTGCAATCGGAACCTTTCTTCATATATATCATCTTTCAATGTTTTAGCTTAGGCAAAAGTGTTTTCTCATTCCACTTCTTACCCACCAAACTTAGTGTACAAGGGCGGAGCTAGGGGAGGCTAGCATGGGCGGTCGCCCCCCTCCCCATTAAAAGAAATGAAAAAAAAAAAATTAATGTGGTGAAGGATGTGGTATCGTTGTTATTGTTAGATGTGCTTCTTATGAAAGTTTTGATTTGAGATTCAAGTTGAAATCTATCTCCACCTCATCTAATGCGTGTGTGTTATGTATACCCTTTTCCATATTTTCAATTTTATTTTTATTTTCATTTGTTATATTTTGGTTAATGAAAGCTTTGTCTTTTTTGCTTTGCTCTCTTTTCATTTGCATGTTTGTGTTTCTTTTTATGTAGTGGTTTCGTATAGAGAAAATGAATTTGCTCTAACTTAAAAGATTCATTTTTTGGGCAACTTGGTTGCAGTTTTTTTTAATTTTTTTTTTTAAAATTATAGTTAAATGAAGACACTTTTTTTTAAATTATTGTTTTAAACTACTTTTTATATCTTTTGGGCCCGACCAATAGTATATTTTTTCAGTCTTTGAAATGTTGTTAAATGCTAATATTTTGGTAAGAAATTATCTAAATGAATTCCATAAAAATATGAGGTGAATAGGTAAAGAAAATATTGATACTATGTAAAACAAAAATTAATTTTCGTCCCCTCCCCTCCGATCTTTGACTCCGCCACTTATCCACAAAACTAAACCAATAAAAACTCAAGCAAATTCAGGTAATTAAAATCCTAAGAAGCATGGTAGAGTGCATAATTTTGCCCATTCTTTTGGATGCACCATATTTCAATTTTCTCCTTTCAGCCATTTCGAATTCCCCACAACTCCACCACACCCAAGTTTCTTTTCACCTTCTCAATTCCTCATTTTTACATCTTTTTGGGCATCAATGTTCCCCTGTTATGCAGAAAGTGCAGCAACTCTTTTAATTCACGAATCCCTACCTTTGTTGCTCGGAGTAAATCAAAGAATGAGGAATTCACACAAGTCCTTTCACTCCTAATCATCTCGGCCAAATTAGGTGAGATTTGACATTTCTTCCTTCATAAATTAGGTTTCATTCTATTACAGTCATTCTCTTTAGAAATTTAGAAATTCAAACAAATGAAATATGAGGATGAATGTATGAAAATGTGATTTGGAATGATTGTGGATATCGGTGATTGCATTCATATTATGGTCTGATTTTATAAATTTATTCTGAATGAGATAGTAATGAACTAGCTTGGTGATTTTCTTTGTAATTTAACTCCAGCCGAATTTTATGCAGCTTGAGATTCTGTATTTGCACTAAGTGGAATTCTAATCACTTTCATTTTGTTGTTGATGATGAAGATGACATGTGAGTGTATGTACTTCATTAACTTTGAGATATAGATTTTTTCATGCTTTGTTATGTACTAATGAAATCAGAGTAGTTCAAGAGAGAAACTAGAATTAGATTATGATAGAATTCATTGGATTTAATGAAAGGAATGGAAGTGAAGGGCTTCTGTTGGGATATGTTTCAAAGGGTATCCGAATACAGGGATTTCAGTACTTGGATACTTCCTTATGGTAGTGAATATAAAAAAATTAACTAATTATCATAATGTAATGGACTTCTAATGGTAAGCCAAGCAACTTCACATAGACTAATCGTAAGAATAAAGGAAAAGATTATAGCACCTTTAATATTAAAATAATGGAAATTATTTGAAGAAGGATCATCTCCAAGTGGAATTAAGTAAGAATCAAAGCACTCAGGGATGGCACCTTTTAATAAATCAAGTGGTTAAATTTGAACTAGTTAAGAATGAAAAATTAAAATTTACCCAGTATCACAACAGAAAGAAAGAAAAAGATAGTAAAAAGAAAGGTTATAAATAAGTTGAAAAACCTTCCCAATCACAGGACCTATGTCTTGAAGATAAATTTAACTGAGATGTCAAGATGCTGTAAACAATACCTCTTTCCGGCTTTCCCTATGGTTCTTATTACTTGACCACTACCTCATCTTTTGTCAAATGTGTGTAATCGTTGGTTGACTTCATATGTTCAAATCTTTTTTTATTTAGCTTGGCATAATGTATCAAGATAGGTTTAACAGATATAAATTTATTAGGCCGATTGATCGAGAGTGCACTTAATTTAAAAACTATTTATCAATAACTCTACTTTCAAAAATTTACTCATTTATCTTACTTTGTCCAAAGTTGACCGAGTGTGTCCTGCATCTTACCTGAATTTTATAAGTGGTGTGTTCCTATTTGACAACTTTGGTAAGAAGCTGAGCCCATTTGATCAACTTGGTTAAATTAAGGTAAATTGATAAATAGTTTTGAAAATATGGTAGATTGATAAAGGGTTTTATGTTTGTTATGTTACATAACATAACTTTATTTTCCTACACACAAGAAAAGGGAGAGAGAAAATGAAATGATGAAAGAGAGACAAAAATATGTGGGCCCCACCTCTTTGTTGCGTGTGTAGGAAAATGGAATTATGTTATGTAACATAAAACCCATTGATAAATAATTTATAAATTACGTGCAGAATGTTCAATTAGCGAAAATTATTCAATACTAACATATATGTATGTTTATAAAATCAGAAAGTTGGGTTACTTTTCAGAATGAAACACTCAGCTTTAGCTAGAAATTCTGTGAGCTTATATTCACAGGGACCAACAAATTCATCATAATAACTATGACCCTTGACTCCTTTTACCATTTCCATGTCAGTAATCTTCAATTTGTGGAGACAACCAGAATCAAGTAAAAATAACAAGAGGAAACATATGCTTACTACAACACACACAATTTAGAAAAAGAAATTACAATTATGTTTGGCACTCTAAGGGCACTATGTAAGGAATGCGCCAATAAGATTGATAATGGAAAAACAATTGCCAACAAAAATGATAATGGAAAAGATACAAATATGCATTACTATTCGTTAACACTTCTTTGCATGTTGCTGCTTCATTTGCTATTATAGTGTGCTTTGTTTTACATGTTGCATTGATGAAAAAAACAAAACAAAATGCTAAATATTCGAAACCATTTTGTCAGAATGCTTAACTGAATATGTTGGTGTTTGTAGGTTATTAAACAGAGCCCAATCAATTGTTAGTCATTTATGTTAGCTTGGATTTTTATGAAATGCCAAAAGACATGCTTTAGTAGTTGTCGAATTAGCACTTTAGTTTGCACACGTTCAACCAGAATAAGCTATATCTGCACCACAAAAAACTATAGAAACATAAAAAGAAACTAAGAGAGTGACAATTGCCCAAACCAAATTCACTCAATAAGATGGTTAACCAAGTTCAAAGAAGTAAACAACATTCATACAATAATATGAGCAACTACAACTGTAATATCATCAATCTTTCCACCTTTATGATTAACTCCGACCTTCTTACAAGCATCTTCAAAAGGGCTTCCACTAAGTTTACATATGGAAAGGCACCGAGCCACTTGTGCTATTTCCTTGGCACATTCTTGCACATTCATTAATCTTCCTTCTGCTTTCATCTATTTCAGAATCACTTCAATCTCAAAAGGAAACATATTACTAAAAACACCATCACTTTCTAACATTACAATATCCCCTAGTTCAACCAGGACCTGATACTCCATAGCAGAGTCAGGAGAATCAGTCTTCAAACCATTCCCCAACTGATAGGGCGTGTTGAATTTTTGCTGCTGAATGGGTGACCGAAATAGCATTCTATTGTTTCTAAATAGCATTAACCCACTATCCCCAACGTTAACGCCATGTAAGACATGTTTCTTGAGACTTACAATGGAAGCAGTAGAATACCCTTTCGCTTTGGTATTCATGAAAGCATGACTCAAGACTCTTTTTAGGTTAACAAAGTCTTTTGGTTCTTGTTTAACTGCAACGGTAGCATTTTTTATGAGTTCTCGAGCATACTCACCAGCGTCTATCCCTTTCATAGCCCAACCACAAACACCATCAGCAACACCAATGGTTTGTTCTTCCTCACAGATGAAGTGGGAATCTTCTCCCAATGGGTACTTTGAATTTATCTTTTGATAGTAATACCCTCCTGCAACAATCTTTAAGCTTTGAAACTCTTCTCCAATAGCTCAAACGTCTTTGTCTTTAGCACGACGCTTCTTCTGTGGAGGTTCCAATGAAACAGGTGCTTGAGCTTAACGCTTCTTCACATTCAACTTTGAAACTTTAAGAGAAAAAAATTGCTGCAAAGATAGACAAGAAGAGTTGCAAAACCCGCTCATTTTTTTTTGGAAATATTCCAATCGGTTCATCGCTTTGCGACTAGTCCGATTTGGGGTGGGTTCAGGATTAAGGCTTTAAACCCCTCCCAAATGTGATATTGGAAAGGATCGAACACGTGCTTTCACCCCCACCTGCTCAACTCCCATTCACCAACTGAGCTACCATCATTTGGTAAAACCCGCTTTTTACAAATCCTAGTAAGATTACTCGATTTTGGAAACTATGTAAATAGCCATAAATGCTTCCAGCTTCATTATTAACTCTTTTTAATAATACTGTTACTTTATGTTTCTTTTCAATTATTGTCATATATAATTTTGGGTAATATATATTTGTTTTTATGGTTTCCACTACTAGAAAATGCATTTTCTTTGACGAAAAAATTCCATTGAAAATTCATTTTCGACGAAATTCAGGCCGTCGAATTTCTCTCCGTTGATAACAATTTTTTTCACGGAATTATAAATTCCGTCAAAAAAATTTGACGAAATTTATTTTTGTCGAAAATTTTCGACGAAAAATCAATGGAATTCCGTCGAAAATTTTGTTGTGATGGTTTTTGACGGAAAAGGGATTTCGTCGAAAGTTTTCAACAGAAAATCTATGAATTTTCGTCGAAAATCGATGTAAAGATTTTCCACAGAAATCAAATTCTGTCGAAAATTTTCAACAGAATATCAATGAAATTTCGTCGAAAATTGTTGTAAAGGTTTTCGACGAAAATGGATTTTGTTTAAAGTTTTCGACAGAAAATCAATGAATTTCCGTTGAAAACTAATGTATAAATTTTTTACGGGAAAACAAATTCTGTCGCAAAATTTTTAGAGATTTTTTTTATCACAAAAAAAAATTACAACATTTACAACTAACCTAATCATCATTTATTTTCATCAATCTAACGGTTATAATTTATTAAAAATTATTGAGTCATATTTATTAAGGGAAAAGATATTGTAACAACTAAGTTGTGTTCCTACTAAGTTACTACCAATCAATCTCACCGTTAGATCGATTATGTGGATCCAATGGTTATATTTATTTTCATCTTTGTATAGTCATGATTTCTTAAATTTAATACTTTATATTTATTTTCACCTTTGTATGGTTATGGTTTTTCATATTTAATGCTTTCACTTTAAATATAGAGAATCATAACCATATAAAGATAAAAATAAATATAATCGTTGGATCAACATAATCGATGTAACGGTGAGATTGATTAGTAGTAACATAACTTGATTGTTACAATATCCTTCCCCATTTATTAATTAATTATTAATTTTCAATAAATTATAACAATTAGATTGACGGAAATCAACGGTAATTAGATTGGTTGTAAAGGTTGTAAACTTTTTTGGTGATAAGTATATTCAGCCCTATTTTTTTTTACATTAAATTTATGGGGAAGATATTTGTCCTTATAAAGACATATAGTTTTTGTTATTTTAATTAAGAGAAAGATACAACCTAGTATTTTTTATTTAAAATTTAAATTTAAAAAATATTCACTTTCTCTCTTATGACTTTCATTGTTTGTCACTTTCTCTCACTTGAAATGACACAACTCTATATTCCTTAAAAGCACAAATAATAAACCCTAAATTTATATTATTTAAAGAAAATATGCATTTAAAATTTTCAGAAAACTTTAAGACATGGAAATTAATTGTATATCAATATATCATTAACCAAAACTTCTCAAGTTGAGTTCTTTACTTATTGTTCTTAAGTTAATAACTGTATGTATGTTTTAGCATACTTATATATTGGTTCCTTTTTTCTGGTACAAAAGTTATATGTATTAAGCCTAAAACAACGTCGTTTTAGCTGGAAATTAATGTGTTTTTATAATTATAATTTATTCAAAGGTTATAATATTCTTTATCATTATAATTTTTAATCCTTCAACCCAAATCGATGTCGTTTTAAAAATGAATATAGATAATTTATCTGTATTTACTGTAAAAATATTAAATCTTTATATATAAAAAATATTAAAAGCTTTTTCATGAAATTGTAAAAACTAGCGATTATTTTTATTAAAATAAATTAACTCCAACAAGCGCTGAGTAAATCAGTGTTTATAGATTGGTCATACTATTTGACGTTTGGTACAGGAGAAAAAAAAAATTTGTCCGGGAATCTCGATTTTCAAAAATATGATTTTTACATTCAGTTTACGATAATATCTGAAAATTTAAAATTTACAAAAAATTATTTTCCCGGGAACCTTAAGATAAGCCATGTACCAAACGGCCCCTAAAGAACACATCTCCGTGCTATTTTTTAAATTTAGATATTAGAATTTCCAGTTACTAATCATAGGCATGGTGGATTTTATAATATCCCTAACTTAAGAATTTAATTAATTACCTATAATTAAGTAATTAAAAGTGGATAGAATTAAGCAAGAGGTTAAAATTAATGAGTTAAGAGCACTTTTGAGGTAAAAAGTGCAATCAGTGAGAATTAAGAGATAAAAATATGGTTGATGAAAGTACCCAAAATATAAAAGTAAAATTAGAAATATGACTAGAAAAATATTCTAGTTCATTGGGTTAAGTTTGGTGGTAAATGGAGATGAATAGATAGATAAGATTTTACCCGGTTGAAATTACTCAACCTAAGTAAGTGTAAAAAAGCAAAGGAACCCTCCACCATTTTCTTCTTCTTCCCGTGGCTGAAACAAGAGAGAGAAGGGAGAAGCCATGTTCAAAAGAAAAAAAAACCCAACACCTAGCAACCCCATTTCTTCACCTTTCTCCTTGATTCCAAAGCCAATATTGCATCAACTTGAAAAAAGGTATTCTAATATATTATAGAATTGTAAATAATCTGTACAAAGGGTTCTCTATTTATAGAGAATATTTGACCTACTTTTAACCTAATGGGCTTGGCCCAATACAACAAAGGGCTTAGCCTAATATAACAATAAATGACTAAATAATAACTAAATCAATATTATTTACAATACTCCCCCTCAAGCTGAGGAATAAATATTTATCATTCCCAGCTTGCTAGTAAGTTCTTGAAATCTGTCTGAAGAAAGCCCCTTTGTTAATAGATCAGCCAATTGACGCCCAGTGGGAATGTATGGAGTGATAATCAACCCGCTATCAAGTTTCTCTTTGATGAAATGGCGGTCAACCTCAATATGTTTAGTCCGATCATGTTGAACTGGATTATGAGCTATACAAATAGCGGACTTATTATCACATAGCAGCTTCATAGGTCCCTCACATTTTATTTTGAGATCATCAAGAACAATTTTCAGCCACAGTAACTCACAAATGCCTTGAGCCATAGCTCGAAATTCAGCTTCTGCACTTGATCTGGCAACCACATCTTGTTTCTTACTTCTCCATGTCACCAAGTTACCGCAAAGAAACATGCAATAACCAGTGGTAGAACGACGGTCAGTCACGGATCCAGCATAATCAGCATCTGTGTAGACTTCTAAAGATAGATTGCCATCACGTCGGAATAACAATCCTTTACCAGGAGTACCTTTAAGATACTGAAGAATTCTCTCTACTGCCTGCATGTGTTTTTCTTTTGGATCGTGCATAAACTGACTGACAACACTAACAGCATAAGCTAGGTCTGGTCTAGTATGGGCCAGATATATCAATTTCCCAACTAGCCGTTGATATTGTCCTTTATCAACTGGAGGACTCTCTTCTTCATAGCCCATCTTGTGATTCTGCTCAATAGGAGTATTAGAGGGTTTACACCCGAGCTTTCCTGCTTCTTTGAGAAGATCAAGAACATATTTCCTCTGGCTGATAAAAATTCCTTTGCTTGAATGAGCTACTTCTATCCCTAGGAAATATCTCAGTTTCCCAAGGTCTTTGATTTCAAACTCAGAGGCAAGCCGTGTTTGCAGAATCTGTCTCTCCACAAAATCATCACCTGTGATAATAATATCATCAACATGTACAAGGAGCACAGTAAGCTTCCCATTTTGGGAGTGTTTGAAGAAAAGAGTGTGATCTCCTTGGCTCTGTCTGTATCCTAAGGTCATCATAACCTTAGTAAATCTTCCAAACCAAGCACGAGGTGACTGCTTCAATCCATACAAGGCCTTTTTTAATCTACAAACTTTATTTTCCCCCTTCACAGAATCAAAACCAGGTGGGATTTCCATGTAGACTTCTTCTTCTAACTCACCATTGAGGAAAGCATTTTTCACATCAAATTGATTTATATCCCAATTGTAATGGGCAGCAAGGGATAACAAGATTCTCACTGTATTCATCTTTGCAACTGGAGCAAAGGTTTCTTCATAATCAATGCCATAGGTTTGAGTGTAACCTTTGGCCACTAATCGAGCCTTATATCTCTCAAGAGTGCCATCAGAATTATATTTCAGGGTATAAACCCATATGCACCCTACTGCTTTCTTTCCGTTGGGTCTATCAATAACCTCTCATGTTTTATTTTTCTCCAAAGCATTCATCTCCTCTTGCATGGCTTGAGCCCAATTCCTATCTTTCAAGGCTTCATGTACTGATTTTGGGATTGCAATAGAATCTAGTGCTGAAACAAAGCTTTTGTGCTGCACAGAAAGATTAGCAGAGGAAACAAAGTGGGAGATAGGGTATTGAGTACAAGAGGGACAGGAGGAACAAGTTTTCTTGTGACAAGATCTTTTTCCTTTTCTAAGAGCAATAGGTAAGTCATCAGAAGTAGAAGCAATGGGTAAGTCATTAGAGATATCAGAAGAAATAGACAAATCATGAGAGGAAATAATATTAGAATCAGAAACAGGAGATTCAGAAGAAATAGGAGATTCAGGACTTACCAGTGGTTCAGACGATTGAGGTTGCTGGTGAGACAGTATGGGTTGTATCTCAGGTGTATTTGAAGGTTCTGACACACCAGGAGCAGACACACTAGGAAGAGAGAAGATTGATCCAGACTCAAAGAAGGAAGGGGACGAGTCTTCTGAAGAACTATTCTCCCCCTGACGATGAGGACCCAGGAAATAAGATTCAGATTCTTGAAAGGTGACATCCATAGAAACAAAAAATTTCCAACTTGGTGGATGATAACACTTGTACCCTTTTTTATAAGGGTTATAACCAAGGAAGACACACTTAAGAGCCCTAGGATCCAACTTACTCCGATGTTGTTTATGAACATGGACAAAGGCAACACATCCAAACACTCTTGGTGGAAGGCTCTGCAATATGGGAACAGAAGGAAAGAAGGAAGTCATGGAATGAATAGGACTGATATTGTTAAGGACCCGTGAAGGTAAACGGTTGATCAAAAAAGTTGCAGCTAATACTGCTTCTCCCCAATAAGAACTAGGAACAGATGTCTGAAAAAGTAGTGCTCTAGCAACTTCAAGAAGGTGACGATTTTTCCTTTCAGCAACCCCGTTTTGTTGAGGGGTATCAACACATGTGAGCTCATGAATCATACCTCTGTCTGAAATGAATTGTGACAGGCGTTGATTGACGTACTCAGTACCATTATCAGATCTGAGTCTTTTAATACCCTTACCAAACTGAGTCTCAACCATGTGATGAAACCGAATAAATATCTCTGGTACTTCAGACTTGTCTTTCATCAAGTATATCCATGTTATCCGAGTACAATCGTCAATAAAAGAAACAAACCACCTAGCACGTGAAACACTGTGCACTTTAGAAGGGCCCCAAACATCAGAATGGATAAGAGAAAAAGTTTCTCTGCTTTTAATAGTGCTAGAAGGAAATGACACTCGATGGTGTTTTGCAAATTCACAAACATCACAATGAAAGGTCTCAACCGACTTATTGAGAAACATAGAGGGGAACATAGACTTCAAAAGACTAAATGGTGGATACCCGAGACGCTTGTGATGGAGCCAAATCATAGACTCTGCAGTAGAAGGATGACGTGTCATTAATAACTGATTTTTGCTAGCATGGTCTGGAAGGAGATGATACAACCCATCCTGTTCATTAGCAACTCCAATTGTCTTCTTCGTGGTAAGATCCTGAATAAGACAATGAGAAGGAAAAAATGTGATAGAACAATTCAAATCAGTTGTAAGTTTTTGAGTGGAGATAAGATTAGTAGAAAGCTGAGGAACATAAAGAACATTTTTAAGAAACAAGGAAGGTTGAATTTGAATGTTACCAGAACCAATAACTGATTTATGGGATCCATCAGCTACGGATATAGTATGACTACCAACAATAGGATGATAAGAACAAAATAACTCAGTACGACAAGCCATATGATCAGTTGCACCAGAATCCAAAATCCATGAGGTTTTAAAATCAGTGCAAGAAGCAAGAAGAGATATAGAACGTGTGCTCTTACCAGATAAGATCGAAGAACTATCATGCTCAGCCATTCTTTAACAAAAAAAAGTTAACAACCAGCGATAAAATCAACCAAAAAGAATATCAAATGACCTCTGATCAGAAAAATAATTACAGATCCAGACAGAAGACAAGAAGACGAGAAGAATGGTGGTGGTCCGGTCCAAAAACACGGCCGCACGCGCCTCCACGCGCCGGAGAAAGGAGCTGCGCGTGGGATTCACTCGCCGGGAAAGGGGCGGCGCGTGAGAGCGCGTGGATGGGCTTCGCCGGCTGAGATTTTTCTGGTGTGGTCGTCCGGTGAGCGCACACCTGTCTGTGGGTGGTCGCGGTTGAAAAGTCGCCGGAAAGTGGTCCAAACGGTGAAGACAGATCTGATTGGAGGCGATCGGAGGTGTTTCGGTCGTTTGTGGCGGAGGAACACTGCGTAGAATGATAGATCGGAGGAAAAATAAGGTCAACAATGGTCCCCTTGGTCCAAAAGGTCCCCGGAAAAATTTTCCCGTGGCGGCTAATGGCGGCAAGAGGCAAAGAAATTAGGGTTTTGTTAAAAAAGAAGATAATATGTGCGGAAGCAAAGCCCTCAGATCGAGAGCTCTGATACCAACTTGAAAAAAGGTATTCTAATATATTATAGATTGTAAATAATCTGTACAAAGGGTTCTCTATTTATAGAGAATATTTCACCTACTTTTAACCTAATGGGCTTGGCCCAATACAACAAAGGGCTTAGCCCAATATAACAATAAATGACTAAATAATAACTAAATCAATATTATTTACAACACATCAAATTTCTCCCTCTTCAAAGCCCACTACTCTATTCTTGTTGGGAACCATTGTAGAGGGAGATCTCACCTTGCTTTGGGGGTGAAAATTTGAGTGAGGAAGGAGTTAGGAGTGAAGTCTCTTCACTTGGTGGCTTGATTATCTTTTCTTGCACCTTTGAGATGTATTTGTGGTAAGAATCTCAACCTTTGTTGTATGATTGAAAAAACTCATATGTTAGGGTTTCTTTATGAAAATGTGGCTTGAGTTTGAGTAATTAGAGCTTGAGAAAAGCTTAACTCCTTTGAAAAAGTTGTTTAGATGATGAATTAATCGGTAGAAATGAGTTTAGATAGTTGTTTGGTTACCATATAATATTTTTGAAAATGGGTGCCTTTGTTAGGGTATTCTTGCATTGCAAATGTTAGATATTGGAGTGTTGAAGGTTGATATTGATTGTGTCCATGTTATTGTTAGGATTGAGACAAGTGGACTAACCATTGGAGGAAGCTATAGAACTTGAGTAGCTCATTTGGATTGGTATTATTATGAAGTTTGATTGTTGCACTTTGGTGGTGAACCAAGGTTGGACTTGAAGCAAATTGAGGTAAACCTTTGGACCTTGGGGTTTGTAACACCCCGTTCTAGAACCGGATTGTTATCATTGCGTACGGCATTAAGCGCAGTTACAATCACATTGGTTCAATTAGAAAACCGGATAAATTTTTCCTTTTTATACAAGCCGGATTCAAATAACCAAGTGCGTGATCATAACTATATATACTTCGCGGAATAGTGGGACAAAACTTAAGATTATATTCCCATTATACTTGACAATACTTCGTGAAATATCTTCATCACTTTAATTATCAAATTAATTCTAAACTCCTTTTATGATTCCCATCTTCTACTATGTTATAGTATTTTTCATTAGCTACGCGTGGGTTCAAACCGCGCTCAAATCGGAGCACCGTAGCCAAAGTTATGTACTTTTTAAGAAAAGGGTGCGAAACCTCCAGAACCCCCGCGCCCGCAGCGTGAGATCCACGCTCAGAGCGTGGGAAAACAGAAAGTTGGCGCCCCAAGCGTGAATCTGGCGCCCCAAGCGTGGATGCTACTGTCTGATCTCATAATTTGGCGCCCCAAGCGTGAATTTGGCGCCCCAGGCGCCATCCACAGGGCTGGGTGACCCAAAACAAGGTCATTTAACCTACCTATGGTTTTCCACTCATAATTTGAGCTATACTCACTCAAATTACACCATTTTGGTCTCTATGGAAAGCTGAGAGGAATGTCTACCACTTCCATAGAGACATCAAAGTCCAATTCCATCACATTGGGTATGAAAATTGGTCAAACGGACAGGATGTATTTGTTTTCTCAACATTTCCCAATTTAGCACTAGGTACCTAATTTAGTTTCCAGTTCAACAATCCAATACTTAATGAACATACATATATTAAACTCAAAGTACTCATCAATTACACATCATGTTCATTAGAATTCATGGAACTTAGCTTACAAAACACTATGATCATTCCCTTGGCTCTCATCAACAAAAGAGATGACCAAAGGCATGAGCATAGGCTAAGTCCATTCCAATATACAATTCATACATCTATCAATGGTCTATGAATTACAATCCTATACATGTGAGCTACAAAACAACATGTACAATCTCAAAAGAAATGCCACATTTCATGCATAATCCAGATATGGCCACTTGCCACCAGAGGCTCCTGCAGCATCCTTACCTGAAAGGGGGTCCCCACAACACGGGGTGAGATATACGAATATATCCAGTAAACCAGGGGTCCTTGGAGCATCTCTCCACCCCACAGTTCCATATCAGTGTAATAGCAATAACAATAATAATGCAGTAAATACATATCTATGCAAAGTGCAATACATCTCCAGGAGAAATCCCTCGAGCTCTCAAGCTGTCCTAAGGAAACTCAGATGCAAATAGTCCTACTGGCCAGCTAACTACCAAGTATGATTTACGCATCGTCATGCAACATACCACATAGGGAAACACCATCCTATGCCACACCAAATGCATACACATACGTATAACAAAGCATTACACTATTTCATTGCATTTATATACACTATAATCACCACTACCCTTTCAGGGCTTGGTGGAACAATCAAGGGAATTACACCCAAGGTCTGAAGGCTTACCTCAAGCTTCAATTCGACCTTTGTTCACCACCAATGTCAACAATACTCTACTCCAAAACCAACACCTACACATGGTGTAATGCAATCAACACATTGCATCCAAGAGTATTTCACAATCAACCATCAACTACTCAATTCAAAACACTAAACAAGTATGAGCTTACCAATTCCAATGAGCTACTCAAGCTCCATAGCTTGCTCAAGCGGTTGATCACTCACGGTCGGTCCAAATGTCTCAATCCTAGACATCACAAGGATCCAATCATCAATCAACCAAGCCAAACCATTTATCATCATTGCAAGAAAACTCACAACCAAGTGTCATATTCTTGCAACATTCAAAGTATAGTCATATACTATCTAAGCTCATTTTCACCGATTAAATGCCATTCCTAGCATTTCTTATAACATGCACTAAATCTCATTCTTCCTAGAAAATAGCAAATTCAACTACATTTCATCAAAATCCCAATTTACTATTCATAAACCCTAACTCATGCAAATTTCAAGGAATCATGAGGTTCAAGGGTTAGAATCTTACCACCAATGGTCACACAACCAAGCAAGGAGTGTTCCTCAAGCTCCCATGGAGGTTGAACTTCCCAAAACCCCAAAATCACTCAAATGGTCGAATTTTTGAGAGCCAAAATCTCTCTCCACAAAGCTCCCCACTAAGAACTAAGCAAGGATTATGAAAGAGGGCGAGATTCTAAGCGATTTAGGCTTTTGAATCACCCAAAACGGTCAAGGTTTGATCTCTCTCTCTCTCTCTTCCTCCCTTCCTTCTCCCTCCTTTCTCCTTCTTCTTCTTCTTCTTTCTGTTCTGGCGTCGACGAGGGATGGGTGGGAAATGGGTTCACTTTTGGCTTTTAGTCACTTAACATTGGTTAAGTGGCTTTAAGCGGGTATTGGTTCGTCTATCTATTCAACTCCAATAATTACCAAACTTTACCCAAAAGTTTGGAATATTATTCTAGGAATATTACCATTTTTATTTTTATATTTTGGGCACTTTCACCAGTACCCATTTATACCCCTAAATTTTCACTGAGTACACTTTTAACTCCAAAGTGACTCAGATTCTTTTAGTTAAGCATTATACTTAATTTTACCCACTAAAACATGTTTAATTAATTAATTACATTAGATTTACTAATTAATTAAGTTGGGCTATTATAGGGTTGATCCCCTTGAATGTTCCACCATACTCCATTGAGGAGGAATGGTTTATGAGGTGTGATATGTAATGATGATAGTTGTTGTATGCTCATGCATTGATTTATGCATTGATAAATGTTTTGATTGATGTTTGATTGTTTGAGAGTAGTTAAGGAATGATTGATAGATGTAAAAATAATGAATGAGGTAATGGTTGAAGATTATAATTGAGGTTATGATTGAAATATTTATGATGAGGAAGATTGGTAGAAACTTCCCTTGGAAACAGCCCTATGTGGATCTCCATGTGGTTAGAGCCTAAGAGAAACAACTCTATGTGGATCTCTCTTGCAGGTTCCTAGATTGAGGATAGGGACTTCCCTTGGAAATAGCCCTATGTGGATCTCCATGTGGTAAGAGCCTAAGAGAAACAACCCATCGTGGATCTCTCTTGGAAGTCCATGTGATGTTAATGGATAAGAATGTGTTAAGCTGTTATGATGATATGTTCATCGAAAGTGAACCTTAGGGTGGAGTGATCTCCAAGGACTCCTGGTTTACTGTGATATATTCGTATATCTCACCCCGTGTTGTGGGGCATCATTTCAGGTACTGATAGATAGGGGTGTGCATGGAGCGGTTGGGTTCGGTTATTGTCAAAAACCAAACCAAACCAGTTTTAAACGGTTTGGATTTTAAATCGAACCACTTTTTTTTTTTAAAACCGGTTTTTAATTTGTCCAAACCGGTTTGTGGTTCATAACCGGTTTTGATTTAAAACCGATTTTAATTCAAAACCAATTTTAAATTAAAACCGGTTATGACCACAAACTGGTTATCAAGATTAAAATCAGTTTTATAACAATTTTTTTTTTAATGAATAGGATGCAGATCAATGAATTCGTAATGTAATTAATGAAATAATGTGGTCTTTAATAATGTTAAAATTTATTCATTATTATTAGAATTTTGATTCGTACGAGTCTTTAACAATTAGCAGTATATTCGTTCATGATATATAGCTACAGCATATTTAATTTTGAAGATTATATGTTATAGGAGATGAGCTCCGAATCCTCTGATAGGCATAAAATTTTAATACGTGCACTATTCTATTGAGGAAAAATATGCTGACTTTAGCTCCTAGCACAACATCATTTCTGTTTTGGTCATTGACAGCAAATAATATCTCAAAAGGGTTTGATTAAAATTAAATAAGAAAAAAAAGTTATTTTCAGATATTGAATAGCCAAGTACGTGATCTAATTTTTTTCAAAGGATGGATATCATTCACCATTGTTAGACAAAGTTTACTGTATTTTCTTGGATCAGCAATCACCGTGGTAGTTTACTGTATTTTCTTGGATCAACAATCACCGTGCTAGTTTCTTTATTTTTTCAAAGAAAAAGAAAAAGAAATGAATATGATTTTGTTATCCAGTATATCCAAACCATTTGATAAATGGATAACCAAACCACATTTAAAATTAAAAAGTGGATATATATTTTAACTGGTTTTAAAAAAAACCGGTTTTTTAATTTGGTTTGGATCAGTTTTTTATTTGGTTTGGATCAATTGGACATTTTGCACATCCCTACTGATAGAGGTGAGGATGATCGAGGCAAGAAGCATGAGTAGATTGTACCTGACATATGACATTTTGAGTTGTATGCAAATTAGTATTGTCAGATGCATTTGCCATTTATATCATCCCTTGTACATGTATATTTTGAGGCCATGTGATGTAGTATGGAAGACTTAGTCCATGATCATTGTTGTAGTAATTGCATTGTTGTATATGGCAATTAGCTTTGCTCATGTCTTTTGATAGTTAAGTCCTTTGACATGTATTTATTTTGAAGAACATGGATGTAAAAGAGATATAAATATATTAATGGAATGTGATGTTATATTTAGTCAAGTTTAATGGCACATTAAAGTGGTGTAGAATATGTAATTATTGAGACATTGATGTTATAAGATTGTCAATTAAGTCATATGGTGAGTGGGATTTAATTCCCCAAGAGAAATACATGAAAATAGAGATTTAGTGTTTTGCCCAGTGGAGGGGGCTTAAGCCTGCAAATGGAGACTTAAGCTCGCTCAGGGGGCTTAAGCGCCCTAGTGCACCTGTGAGTGGAGAAACTTACTGCCACAGGGGGCTTAAGCGCTCTTGATGGCCTAAAAATACCATTTTCCTCTGCATGTGGGCGCTTAAGCTCGTTGGATAGCGCTTAAGCGCTCTATCGGGCGAAAAACATGTTCGAATAGGGCGCTTAAGCGCTCTAAGCGCGCAGCCCGTTTTCAGCACGAATATGAGTTAGTAAAATTGGCATAACTCGAGATACAGAGTTCCAAATTGAGTGAGGTTTAAACCTAGTGAAGCTAACATATAGAGCTATAACCCTGCAAAATATTACAGCCATTGGATGAGTATATCAATGGCAGTATAGGATTGAAGTTGATGCTCTAATTTTGAAAATTCGGTTTGTCAGCTACGTTGCGAGTTTAATAACTCCGGCTATGCTTAACCAAATGGTTATTGTAATATCTTTCCGAAAAGCCCTAGATGTCTAGTTTATCATAACTAAAATGGTTAAAGTTAATTATTGAGCGTGGTGGTCTCAGATTAGAAAATGTTACATGGTTACAATTACGATTTTGTTTTAAAAAGTAAATGGAAATGTTTTGTGAAAAGTTTATTCGTAGTTTTAACTAATCCATGTGATTGTAACTGCGCTTAATATGATATTTGATGATAACACACTGGTCTGGTAACAGGGTGTTACATATTTGAAAATTATAAAAACATATATAAGGTGCAAAATAACTCTATTTGACTAAGGTTAATTCATCTTGTATAATATAAATAATTTAAAAAAGCAAAAAAAAACTATTAGAAGACATAATAAGATGTTGAGTGAGTTGCTAGCTTTGAGAAGGAAACAATTATATAAGTTATATTATCCATCTTCTTCTTGATGATTTCCTTGTCTGTTCAAAACTAAATGTGAACAATCCACTTATCTAAATGGTTCACATATTACAAAGTTTCATAAAGAAAACTTAATGAAAAATGAAGTATATATTGCCATAGCTAGAAAGTTGTTTACTCAACAATAACAACAAAAAATTTAAATTAAATAACCAAATTTTAATTATTGAGAATATGTGAAGATATTCGCTCAGCCCAATCTATCTTTCTTGATCATTGTGATAATTTATGGCTTGAAAACAAAGGTGATATTGTGTCACTCAAACTTGTGGTTCATGAGTGAAGTTACGTTGGTACCGGATCAAAAAAAATTTGATGGGACTGAGATGAAAGAAAGAAGAGATAAGAGAAAAAAAAAATTAATACAGGTATCAATATCTGTAACATATTAAAAAATTTTGTCAATAACACCTAAAAGGATATTTTCAAAGGAGTAATAATTACGGATGAGATATCATTGTGTCTCTCATAAATAGTAGATTGGTTTTCCTATATATATTAAGAACCATATAATGAAGTTGGCAAATTGCACAAGAAAGAGACGTTGAATTCTGCTCCTCAAGATTTTGCAATTTGTAAAACCATAGCCAATGTGCTGAAACTTTTCTTATCACTCTTCTTTACTTTGTTAATTATATATCAACAGATAATTATTATGGAAACTTAGCAATGGGTATCTTTCCAAAACATTTTCAAAGACTTAAAAACTTGACCTTAAACTTGAAGAACAACTTTAAGTAGGTTTTTAAAATATGGAAGGCCAGCTACAAAAAACTTTAGTCTAAAAAAAAAACAGAAAAAAAAAAAGTTGAGTTAAAAAATTACTTTTATCTTGATAAAAAAAACATTTGTGGACATTTTATATAAACTTTTTCAAAAAGGAAAGATACTTTGTTATCTTTATTGACAATAAGTCATATTAAGCAATAGATGCTTTAGAAATCTACTTAAATGAAATAGAAAAGAAATTAAACAAAAGATGAAAATGGTCAAGTCTAATTAAAATAGTGATGAGAATTAAGTTAAGTATCAAGACATGAAAAAGCTGAGCCAATTATGCTCTAAACTCACAAGACCCAAATGATACAATCGGAAGGATCTACAGTCTAACGAAAAGTTGAAGTAAAGCTTTCGTTTGAGGTTTCAATTTTCAAGTTCTAGAACCGATGACTTGCACCAACTTAGATAGCCCAGGGTTTTAATTTTCAAGCCATGTTCATAATTTATAAAAGATTTTGTTCTATATTATCAAGACTATAACCACCATAGAGAAATGTCAACAACAAAGTTTAGTATATCAGTGTCATTCCCTGACCAATTAACTATAAATAAATAATAAAAAAGAAACACCAAATCCAAGCTTCCGGCAACATGAAATCTTAACAAAATTTGAAAATACAGTCAGACTAAATGTGCAACTTCTCACCACAAAAAGAGCTAAGCATGCATGGTATGTTTGATCCATTCTCCCAAGAAGATGTATAGAACATAAAAAATAAAAACTTACTCTGGCAAACCTAGCCACTCCCACATAAAATTGGTTTCCAGCTCCTTCTAGATCTAAGCTTTTCAGAGAAGATAGATGTATCCAAGAACCAACAAGATCAGAACTAACAGAGCACAGGATGCAACCCAAACCCAGTAATTGTTAGACCTTTTCCTCTTAAGAATAGCTTTCGGAATCGAGTCAGGGCCTTTGGTTCGATTCCTGGACCTAATGCTGCTCTCCTTTATGACCTTTTCCTTCACCACCGGAGCCGAGGCTTCGATGGTATCGTTAAGCTTTTCCTGTTCGGTAGCTTCCCCCGCCACTTCATTTGCTGGTTCCTCAGGATTGGGAACAGCAGCAGCCTTCTTTGCTTTCTTCTCTCGTTCCTAAAATAAATCATGAGCCAATTTCATACTTCAATACCTAATTTAGTATTCACATAACATAAAAAAGGACAACCTGGAGTTGCAAGGTGCCCCGCTATGCACAGGGTCCAAGGAAAGGCTATAGTAGGCAGCCTTACCTCGCATTTGCAAGAGACTAATTACATAAATCAAACCTGTGACCTACGTGTGAGTGTAACATGGCGACAACACTAACTGTGGTGCCAAGAAAACCCTTATGTATTCGCAAAGAAAGAATTGTATCAACAATCACCTTAAGCTTCTTCTCAGCTTCCTTTTGTGCTCTGATAGCTGCTTTGGCTGCAGCTTTCTCAGCTAACTTCCTCTTCCTTTCCAAGGCCTGCTTTGCTTTTTCGATTTCCTCTTGTCTTTTCATCTCTTTCAACTTTGCTGGATCAATTGCAGGCTCTTTGGTAGGAGTTTCCTTTCGCGGCTGTTCAAATTCATATTCATCAGCATCTTCTAAATCCTTATTACCCAGATCAGATTTCAAGTCTCTTCCTTTGTTTTTGGTTTCTTTCTGAACCTTCTGAGTGGGCAGAGCTTCTTGTGGAGATGGTTTAGACTCCTCCTTTGGCTGTTTTACACTGCTTTTTGGTAATGTTTCAGTTTCAGCGGGTTTTGGTTCTTCTAGCAGTGGCTTTTCATCTCGGTTTCTCATCCGTCCATCCCTACTCAATTGCCGAGTATCCAATGATGGTAAAATTCTTTTCTCATAGTCATTCCTAAAGGCTTTGTCACTGCTCCAGAGTGAATTGAATTTCTCAACCTAGAGCCCACAAAAAAAAAAAGTAAAAAAATAAGATTGCAACCACAACCCAGCATAGCTAAGAAATCAATTATTAATATCAGATGTTGATCTGAAGGAAAACTATGTAGTCAAACCTCTGTTGGTAAAAGTTCCTCAAGAGCATTAATATCTTTCTTTCGAGCAAGATCCCATGCCTTGTTCAAAACTGTCCGACTTTGGTAGAAATAGGTGTTCTGAAAAATTAATATTAATTCAAATTCAGAAATTATTCTTCTGTGCAACATTAAAAAAAAAACTGAAAAAGAAAACAAATTTTGGAAACAACAAATTAAAATACTGTCTAATAGCATGCCATATAACCCTTCTGGAGCAGCAAAAAAGGGGAAGGGCCAAGGAAAGCTTTGTATAGGTCAATATAAATTTGGATCAGAAGAAAGGGTCTAGCTTAGTACCACATCTCAAGATTAAGAAATATAAAAGTAAAATGTGTGTGTCTGTGACTAGAAAGCAAAACATACCCCCTCATCACGCTGTTTTCTTAGCTGCTGAATGCTCTCAAAAGCTTTTTCCCTCTTCTGAGTAACAGCTGCCAGGTCTTCCTGCAAAGACTGGATATCCTTGTCTATGGCTTTCAGTGCATCATCAAGTTGCTTGATTTTGGACCGAATTGTTTGTCTCTCTTTTTTCATTTCATCCAAATTTCCACCAATAAGCTGTAATGGAAAACAATTGTTAAAGAACTTTAAAATAAATAAATACACAAGTAAATATTCAGAACACTTATCACAACAATATAAAAACAAAATATTACCTTAACTGCATCTTGAATGTCTTCTTTCTGCCCAATAGAATCCTGTACTTTGGCCCTCATGGCAGCATTAGCAATAACCTTCTCCCTCGTCCCCTCGAGCTGTTTGATTTCTCGAAGGATTTGTTTTTCCTCAGACAATGGAATGCTCTCATGCTGTATGCGGTATTGCAAACTATATATCTGCACCCATCAAAGCATATAGAGAGCAGTGGGTGAATCAAGGATAGAGAGGATTACCTACAATATAGACAAAGTGATGAAGTCTGCATAAAAAGAACTTACTATATTATTAAGTTCCTCCTCAGATGAGCATAATCCACCCCGACCTGCATTGTTAGCAGTACGCAGCTTGCCCAGTGCCTGCTGCAAAGGTTCAATCTCCTTTAATTTCACATCCACAACACTCTGAAATTGCCTATTTTCATCTCTTAGAGACTTAATTTGAGAAATCAACTCTGCTCGTTCTGACTGCATCAAGACCAAACATGCAATACATTAGATGTTTGTGTTGATGGAGCCTATCATTTCACTCCAAGATATTAAACTTTAATGGAAGGACAGCTCATTGTGAAGTCATATACAATCCCCATCAATTTTCGCTTGCATAACAGATAAATTTCCAGATAAGAAAAGTTTTAGCAGACTTTATTCCACACCTATGTTTCAATACTAGGCTACTAGCCATATTTTTTTTCCTTTTATATATTAAAAAAAAAACGGTAGCTGATATGGAAAATCAGCTAAACCTTATCTCACTAGGTCAGATCAGGTACATAGATCAATCTATGTCACAGGGCTCTATTAGAACCTCAACATTCAGTAAAACCATTTATAGAATAATAATATCACATTTAGCATATAAATACATACTTTAATTGATCTCACATACAAAACAAAGTCCTGGTCCTAAAATCCATATTTCCCATTTCGGGAAAATGCAGCTTTCTGGCAGATAATAATTCCTATCAATAAGCCCAATAAGTGTTCAGAGTAAGCAATGCAATATTCAACCAAGGAGGGGAAATGCAGTTGCATAGGGGTCATGGTTGCATTGCGAGCTGCAATCACGGTGTGAAGCTGTTGCGGCAGCTGCCACAACTGATAAGTTGCAGCCGCATCACATTAAGCAGTTCCCTATTTAAATCCTTGAGTTGGTCTTTCAATTTTAACTTAAAAAGTGTAAGCGATGCAATTCGCAATTTAAATCCTTGATTAGCTCTTTCAATTTTTACTAAAAAGGAGGAAGCTGATTTTTACCTTTTTTCTTAATGAGGGTACCATATTCTAACAATGGTAGCTAATATTTGTCACGTGTTCATTTAATTGAAATATAAATACAAAAATAACTTACGGTATTTATATTTCAAATAAGTGGGATACGAGGACAAAAATTATCCACTAATTGTTAATGGGAACACAATTAGAAAGTGTACCAAATAACCTCCTACAATAAAGAGCTAATTAAGTCTTTGGTCTTTATATTTTTATTTTGTCTTATTTAGACCTTACATTTTACACTTGCACTTTGGTCCCTCAACTTACCAAATACATCCATTGTTATCCTTATGTTGATCCTCTATCCAAATTATTTTGATCAATAATGACCCATGAACCGTTATTCAATAAGTAATCTTAGAAGCAATTCCAACACAGGAAGTCACCATTTAACTGAATAATCCAAATATAGGTTCGCCATAAGAATAACATTTATTCTAAATGGAAAATTGAGGGACTACAGTGAACAAATTAAAACAGTAACGACAAAAATGAACACACCGAAAAACATATAACTCCCAAAAACTTAATTCGATTAGACCTATAATATATATATAAATTAGATAACGTTGTATCCAAAATCATTATGCAAGGGAATGATGCATGTCCAACATAATACAAAGAGACATTGTTTGACAAAGTTGAAAATGAAGAGGAAAAGGACAGAAGGCATATGTAATTCCCTCCTTAATTTCGTCCTTCGATTGTCTTTCCATTTTCAACTCCATTGAGAACAACTGTATCAAGCAACCATGAAGAAAGAATTCTCAACTCACCCGTTTTGCCCTTAGAGCTTCGATGACCTGAATCCGCTCTTTATTTTTCTGGTTTATCTCTTTATCCAGCTTATCAACTTTAGATTTAATGTTGGGATCTTCATAGGACCGGAACCTGGCAAAATAAAAAGAATGTGTCTGCTGAGGCGCCGGCCACTCTTCAACAACATTTTTGGGGACATTGGAATCTGAAACACCATTTCCTTCTGCTTTAGCAGATTCATCTCCATGTGACCCAAATTTTATGGCCTCTCCATCTCCCTGAGCTTGTTCCAGTTTCCCAATTTCAGTCGAAACAGATTTGTCTGCTTCAGCACCATTCTCCACTGGCCCTTGAACCATATCAAATCCATCAATTTCAACCGCCATGGCTCCCACTACAGGACAGCCTCACAAAAACCCAAGAAACCTAATTCCAAAACAAAAATACTTCATATGAATATAGGGAACATTCCAACAGCATGTATAACTCAATAGTTTGATCCACAGCCCTAACAATCAGCCAGACAAATGCCAAACCATGAATCAAACAGAAAAAAATTTAGGATTGTTAACCGTGATTATCAATTTAAAAAAAAAAGAAAAGAAAATGCAATACATACACGAATTCTTTCAATTTAATCACCATCAGACAATTTCAACCATCCATGTCAAATGTACAACGGGATCAATAGACTATATCATCTTCATCTCAAACATGCAAAATAAATGACACCCAAAATAATAATAAAATAATAAAAAAAAGATTTTTACACAAGATCAGGGGCTTGTTCTATGAACAAACCAAGCATGCAAACCCAAATCCGAAAGAAATGAGACAGTTACAAGAAAGAAAGAAAATCTCAAAAGGGTATGATCTGAATACCTTGAATGGCTATACCCACGATTGATAAGGCCAAAAAGACATAAAATTTGAATTCAGAAGCTTCAGAAAATCAGAAATGCACAAGCAATAAAAGGGGGAGAGAAAATGATACCAGTGTGGTGGAGTGAAATAAGCACAAAAGGATTATTACCCAAAAGAGATTGCCAAACAAGAAGACCCCTTTTTGACAAAGGGCCACCAAAATCCAATTCCAAAATTAGGACTCGCTCTCTCTCTCTCTCTCT